CTCTCTCTCTCTCTCTCTCTCTCTCTCTCTCTCTCTCTCTCTCTCTCTCTCTCTCTCTCTCTCTCTCTCTCTCTATCTCTCTCTCTCGCACTCAGAATTAATTTAAACCAGATAATATAACCAATATTTGCAATATATTTTACAAGATATATGCAAAATTTACAATATATTCTACGAATATCTTATATTTTATATACTATCTTACATTTGTTACATATTTCAAAATTTTGTATAAATATTGAAAATGTATTATTTACCACAATCCTCATTTAATTCGAGACTGCATAAGATTTCAATGCCATGTTGAAGGATGTACAGAAGACGTAGAATATCCTAGACTTAATATCCCTTGAATATCTCCTGGATGTCTATGTCTTTTTAGAAATATGATAGGATATTGAAAGATTTAACGATATTTTGCAATGTCTTAGGATATCTTACAAAAATTCTCACAATATCTTTTCAATATCTTTTTGGATATTTTTACAATGTTTTACGATATCTCATAATGTATTACGATATCTTACGATATCCTGCTGAGATATCCCGGGATTTACTTACTGGGATATCCCTTGGATCACCTTCGTCCATCTGGGACTTTTTGGGATATCCTCAGGATAAAGTGTGCTGTATGGGAAAGACGCACGTTACCTGTACTAATCTCATTCTCTTGCTGTTTCATGACGATTTATCTCTTTTTTCTTTTCTTCGTAAGGTCTCGTAATACACCATAACGAAAACAAAAACATATTACGCGTACGCATGCACACACATACACACACATATCTAATTATAATATTTTTATATCGCGTGAACTTTTTGTATCAATTACACAGCTCCCAAAAAAAAAATCGCCGGCACCCGAGACGAGAATAGGTGTCCTATATGTTTTTGGGGTCGCTGATCACGAATCTGCACTCAGAATTGCCGTATCGCATCAAAATTTTGAATAAATCGCAAAAAATCGTTCATAGGTTCATCGGTTTGGGGTTTATGGATTTGAGGTTTGGGGTTTATGGGTTTGGAGTTTATGGATTTGGGGTTTCTCTCCTGACTGCCTGCCCACCTGGTCACCTGCCAGCCTGTCTGTCTGCCTTCCCACCCACCGCCTGCTCGCCTGACTGTCTGTGTGCCTGCTTGCCCAAGGGGACTCACGCTAATCTAGCACCCCGAATCGTGAGAGGCGAGGGGACTCACGCTAATCTACGCCAAGTTGTACAAGTATGTATTTGTGAAATGGATCTAGCGTTACCCATCTTAAACCACGTGGAGGTACCATTTCTTTTAAGACTTACCCGAAATGTTCGGGGGCGCCTACGCCAGGTTATATAAGTATATATTTTTATTATTCTTTTTTGTAAAATCGAGTTATCTTCTTTTCAAATGATCTTCTAACGCCTTTTCTTTTATGTTCATTTATAGTATCACGATCCAAGCTCCAGCAGTAATCTGACATCATACGTTCGTTCCATACTCCCTGGTAACGCTGCTCCATGGTTTTCATATCTTGGTGGAACCTCTCACCCTGTTCTTCGCTTACATCTCCAAGATTCTTGGGAAAAAAATCGAGATGCGAATGTAGGAAATGTAATTTCAAATTCATTAAAGCTCCAATCTTTTCATAGTTCTTTACTAAATCTCCTACAATTTCTTTAAAGTTTGGATCTTTTACATTTCCTAGAAACTTTGTAACTACTGCTCTAAAGCTTTCCCATGCAACATTTTCTTCAGCAGACATGTGTTTTTGAAACTGTTGGTCTTTTAGTAAGGATCTAATCTGTGGCCCATCAAAGACACCTTCTTTTATTTTTGATTCAGAAAGTTTTGGAAATTTCACAGCAAGATATGTAAATGCATTACTTTCACGGCTTTTGAGCGCTTTAACAAATTGTTTTATCAGTCCTAATTTGATGTGTAATGGGGGTAGTAAGATCTTCGACGGTTCAACTAAAGTATCGTGTATTATATTTTTTGAACCAGGTACCAATGCTAATCGAGATGGCCAAACTGCTTGCCTATAATGTTTGTCGCGAGCTCTGCTATCCCATTCACACAAAAAACAGGAAAATTTAGTAAAACCACTCTGTTGACCTAAAAGTATTGTTATGATTTTTAAATCACCACATAATTGCCATTTGTGTTTTTCATACTCTAATTTTTGTAAAATAAACTTTAAAATTTCATACTCTTCCTTCAAAACAACCGAATGTGCTATAGGGATAGGAGCATAAAGATTACCGTTATGTAAGAGTACTGCTTTAAAACTTTTACAAGAAGAATCAAGAAACAGTCTCCAGTCAGCTGCTACGTAACGAATGCTACTGTTAAAAGCATTTATCAATCCTTCAACGTTATTGCAGTAAACCAGAGCATTTGCAGTAGAAAAGAATTTTCTAAAATGTTTATCTCTATTACGATAAAATGATATCTTGGTTTTTGGAGCCAAAACATGTTTTTCTTTCAACCTAGAAGCTAGAATTTCAGAGTTTTCCTTAGACAATCCTAAGTCTCGCACTAAATCGCTTAGCTCATGTTGAGTAAAACAGGAATTTGTTGTTGTATTTTCATCAGAATGGTTAGGTTCATCAGAATCATTACCTTCATCAGAATCATTACGTTCATCCTGTTCACATGTTTGATCAACTGAATCGTTAAGGTCTACATTATCTGATGAACCTTTATTAACAGAAACGTTCAATGTAACTGCAGGTGTTACTGATGATACATTAGGATATTGTATATAGTTTTTTTGAATGTTAGTGTACCTGTTTGTTTCTGTTAAACAGAAATAGCAATCTGCATCGTGATTTTCAGGTTCGTGCCAAATCGTGGGAGTAGAAAAACGTTGTCGTTTACCTTTGTGAAGAGAAGCAGCGCATGAAGAGCATACCCTATTTGGCGTCCAAGCATTGTTTGTATCTTCAGCAAATATGCCATAGCAAAAATGGTACTTTCTTTTCAAAGTGTCTGTTAAAGCTTTACCATTTTTGAAAATATAAATTCCACAAACAAAACAAAAAGAATTGGGACTTATTTTACAACTAGACATTTTTTAATATCTACTTTTAATTAAATTTTTTTCATAAAAATAAAACACACAGAAACTAATTTTGTATTTTTTTGTATTTGTTAGTTTTGTATTTGTTGTATATCTAATGAAAATGAGAAAATAGATAAACTAGATAAAAATAGATATATATCAAACCCATAAGCACAACTCCACAATCCAAAATTTATGCACTTCAAACTTATAAACCTCAAACTCATAAACCCTAAGCCTGTAAATCCTGAACTGATAAAACCCAAACCTATAGAACTTAAACTCATAAACCTCAAACCTATAGAACTTAAATCTGTAAATCTTAAACCCATAAACCCTAAACCGATTGAACCCAAATAAACCGGGTAATGGTGCCAAGAGTAGCAGTTAATGGAATCTACTCACTGCTATATTGAAGAAGAAGAAAAAGATTAATCCCAAACCTGTAGACCTAAAACACATTAATCTCAATTCTCGCCATAGGGTTATGTAAAAAAACTATTACTTTTATTTTACAATTTCAACCTTATTTATCTCTAAACCTATCCATGAAAAACCTTACTTCACAAATTATAAACTTCAAATAACAGAAGTAAAAAAAAATTTATGCAAAAAAACCAATCACATGAAGCAAACTAACTTTGAAGATTTAAACATAAAAATGCATTCTTTAGTAAATGTAAATTTATATGGTTTTTCATGGATAGGTTTAGAGATAAATAAGGTTGAAATTGTAAAATAAAAGTAATAGTTTTTTTACATAACCCTATGGCGAGAATTGAGATTAATGTGTTTTAGGTCTACAGGTTTGGGATTAATCTTTTTCTTCTTCTTCAATATAGCAGTGAGTAGATTCCATTAACTGCTACTCTTGGCACCATTACCCGGTTTATTTGGGTTCAATCGGTTTAGGGTTTATGGGTTTAAGATTTACAGATTTAAGTTCTATAGGTTTGAGGTTTATGAGTTTAAGTTCTATAGGTTTGGGTTTTATCAGTTCAGGATTTACAGGCTTAGGGTTTATGAGTTTGAGGTTTATAAGTTTGAAGTGCATAAATTTTGGATTGTGGAGTTGTGCTTATGGGTTTGATATATATCTATTTTTATCTAGTTTATCTATTTTCTCATTTTCATTAGATATACAACAAATACAAAACTAACAAATACAAAAAAATACAAAATTAGTTTCTGTGTGTTTTATTTTTATGAAAAAAATTTAATTAAAAGTAGATATTAAAAAATGTCTAGTTGTAAAATAAGTCCCAATTCTTTTTGTTTTGTTTGTGGAATTTATATTTTCAAAAATGGTAAAGCTTTAACAGACACTTTGAAAAGAAAGTACCATTTTTGCTATGGCATATTTGCTGAAGATACAAACAATGCTTGGACGCCAAATAGGGTATGCTCTTCATGCGCTGCTTCTCTTCACAAAGGTAAACGACAACGTTTTTCTACTCCCACGATTTGGCACGAACCTGAAAATCACGATGCAGATTGCTATTTCTGTTTAACAGAAACAAACAGGTACACTAACATTCAAAAAAACTATATACAATATCCTAATGTATCATCAGTAACACCTGCAGTTACATTGAACGTTTCTGTTAATAAAGGTTCATCAGATAATGTAGACCTTAACGATTCAGTTGATCAAACATGTGAACAGGATGAACGTAATGATTCTGATGAAGGTAATGATTCTGATGAACCTAACCATTCTGATGAAAATACAACAACAAATTCCTGTTTTACTCAACATGAGCTAAGCGATTTAGTGCGAGACTTAGGATTGTCTAAGGAAAACTCTGAAATTCTAGCTTCTAGGTTGAAAGAAAAACATGTTTTGGCTCCAAAAACCAAGATATCATTTTATCGTAATAGAGATAAACATTTTAGAAAATTCTTTTCTACTGCAAATGCTCTGGTTTACTGCAATAACGTTGAAGGATTGATAAATGCTTTTAACAGTAGCATTCGTTACGTAGCAGCTGACTGGAGACTGTTTCTTGATTCTTCTTGTAAAAGTTTTAAAGCAGTACTCTTACATAACGGTAATCTTTATGCTCCTATCCCTATAGCACATTCGGTTGTTTTGAAGGAAGAGTATGAAATTTTAAAGTTTATTTTACAAAAATTAGAGTATGAAAAACACAAATGGCAATTATGTGGTGATTTAAAAATCATAACAATACTTTTAGGTCAACAGAGTGGTTTTACTAAATTTTCCTGTTTTTTGTGTGAATGGGATAGCAGAGCTCGCGACAAACATTATAGGCAAGCAGTTTGGCCATCTCGATTAGCATTGGTACCTGGTTCAAAAAATATAATACACGATACTTTAGTTGAACCGTCGAAGATCTTACTACCCCCATTACACATCAAATTAGGACTGATAAAACAATTTGTTAAAGCGCTCAAAAGCCGTGAAAGTAATGCATTTACATATCTTGCTGTGAAATTTCCAAAACTTTCTGAATCAAAAATAAAAGAAGGTGTCTTTGATGGGCCACAGATTAGATCCTTACTAAAAGACCAACAGTTTCAAAAACACATGTCTGCTGAAGAAAATGTTGCATGGGAAAGCTTTAGAGCAGTAGTTACAAAGTTTCTAGGAAATGTAAAAGATCCAAACTTTAAAGAAATTGTAGGAGATTTAGTAAAGAACTATGAAAAGATTGGAGCTTTAATGAATTTGAAATTACATTTCCTACATTCGCATCTCGATTTTTTTCCCAAGAATCTTGGAGATGTAAGCGAAGAACAGGGTGAGAGGTTCCACCAAGATATGAAAACCATGGAGCAGCGTTACCAGGGAGTATGGAACGAACGTATGATGTCAGATTACTGCTGGAGCTTGGATCGTGATACTATAAATGAACATAAAAGAAAAGGCGTTAGAAGATCATTTGAAAAGAAGATAACTCGATTTTACAAAAAAGAATAATAAAAATATATACTTATATAACCTGGCGTAGGCGCCCCCGAACATTTCGGGTAAGTCTTAAAAGAAATGGTACCTCCACGTGGTTTAAGATGGGTAACGCTAGATCCATTTCACAAATACATACTTGTACAACTTGGCGTAGATTAGCGTGAGTCCCCTCGCCTCTCACGATTCGGGGTGCTAGATTAGCGTGAGTCCCCTTGGGCAAGCAGGCACACAGACAGTCAGGCGAGCAGGCGGTGGGTGGGAAGGCAGACAGACAGGCTGGCAGGTGACCAGGTGGGCAGGCAGTCAGGAGAGAAACCCCAAATCCATAAACTCCAAACCCATAAACCCCAAACCTCAAATCCATAAACCCCAAACCGATGAACCTATGAACGATTTTTTGCGATTTATTCAAAATTTTGATGCGATACGGCAATTCTGAGTGCAGATTCGTGATCAGCGACCCCAAAAACATATAGGACACCTATTCTCGTCTCGGGTGCCGGCGATTTTTTTTTGTGGAGCTGTGTTATTTTTTACTTTAATATCAGTCTGCCATTTGATCTTTGTTAAACATCACGCCATAATATTTATCAAAATGTTATTTTCCTTTTAATATAAAAGCCGTACGTTTCTGCACTTCATTCATAGTCTGACGTTATTTGAACAATTATTGTTCGATTTAAATTAAATAAAATTTATTTTGATTTTGGGTTTCTAATTTAAATGTTATATATAAAATAAATCGAAAAGATGATTTCAATTAATTTCTCACAAAAAAAAATATTTTTGTACTGGTGACAAGATAACAAATTGTGTTAAAATGCGAAGCATAAATAATACTAATTATAGCAAATGTTATAAATTTATTAATCACAACGTTTAATATTGCAAATTTTGGTGTCTCGCCTGTTAATCACCATGAAGTTGAACTTCATGATACCATTTTCGATCTAATAAAAAATGCCATAAATGATAATGTTAAGATTAAATGCAATTGGGAACTTGATTTTGATCCAACGGAACCACATGATGTTCAATTTGTGGACATGTATGATATTGATACTGAAGAAGATAATTATGAAGATGAAATTTGTATTGTAGATAATGAAAGTGGAAATATAAATTTAAATTACAAAAGGAAAGCAATTGAATTTTAGAACAGTGGAAAAAAAGGACGTTTATCTATTACTGCTGTATAGAATCGTTTTAAAAAGGTAAAATTTATAACTTTAACATAAGAAAAATAATACGAGCTGATTGAGCAGATAGATGTGCGTTTTATAAAATATAAATATAAATAGTAGATAATAAACAACAATAGAAAAAGAAACATGTTTAATTGTTAGACTTACAGACATTGTTAGACTTTAATTGTTACATTACTTATTGTTACATCGCATTGTCTTTTTATTTTTGAATTTTCTAATTGTAAATATCAAATTTTTTTTCCTTTAAGTAAAATCTATTTCGCAATTGCAGAGGTGGGAAGAAAATGTAATGCGCGGAGGGTCAAACAGGGACAAAATTGTATTTATTGCCGAATATGTACTAATGCAATTCCAAAAAGCTCTTGCTAGAAGATCTATCATTCATGACATAGATTTGCGAGCATGGGTATTACAAGGAAAGGAGCAAATAAACCTTCCTTCATTTAGAGTAAGAAATTGGTGGATATGAAATTTTAAGAAAGCACATCACATTACATCACATAAAATAACAACTTTTAAAACCCGATCTTCTCATACAACTGATGTAACAATAGGCCTATTCTTTCTCGCTGCACTACTGCACTAGTGCGATAAGTTAAAGTGAGAAAACATATATATGTCTCGCTTTAACTTATTGCACCAGTTCAGTAGTGCAGTGAAAACAGGCCTGATATGTCAAAGTGCAAAGGAATTTGTGAGACAAATTAATCCACATATTGATGAAATGGGTGCAGGATAAATTTATAATGCAGATGAAAATGATTTTAATTTATAAATACATTCTAGCAGTACATTAACTAATGTAGAAGTAAAAGAAAGTTAAATCTACTATTTAATCTTTATCTTCTATGATTCATAGCTATACTATTATGCCCATTATATCTGCAGATGGACATCTTCTGTATATAGTATTAAAGTATATAGTATAAAGATCATCTCTGTATATAGTATTAAAAGAATCTAGCGGAGAATTTGGGCCATGCGTAAAAGAAACCCTTTTTAAACCTATTAATGTTCACATTGCGGTTTCAAAACCCGGAAAACTTAGAAGTCAACATTTTAAAAACTGGTTTGAAGAAATCTATTTACGAATATTGGAAAAAAAGTATACTGCTGCTTGATTCATGGACAGGATATTGTCCGAAACAATTAAAAGAATTTATACCAGCAGATAAACAAGTAAATATTTTAACAATACCAAAAAAAAAACAATTACTTTTGTACAATCTTTAGACATTTTTGGTTTTAGAATTTGGAAACATTTTATTTGATGTTTCTCTGATAATGTTATTTTACATAATTATGATATAAATTTACATGCAAGTAATAATATAATAAAATTACAAAGTTTAACGCATAGTCAATTTTCTTCTCCAAGATTTCAAAATCTATTTAAATATAGTTGGTACAAAAGTGGATATTTATCAACACAGCCTAAAAAGTTTGATAATTCAATAAATTTTTGTTATTTTAAAGAAGAAAAACATATATTAAGATGTAATATTTGTGGTAAAATGGCTTTTACACGTTGTACATGGTGCAAAGAATATTATTTTGAACATTTCTTGGAACAATATCATTATTGTAACAAATACATACAATAGAATAAATAATATTTTGATAATTAATTTAATTTAATTTTAAAATTAATTTAATTTTTGTTGATATAAAAATTTTATAAAACATTTGAACATTTTTCAAATATTATTAAGCTTCTATATCTTAAATTGAAATTTAATTTGTAAAATATTAAAATATATTATATTATAATGTTTATATTATTCGGAATATTAAAAAGTTCCTATTTCGTTCTTTATATTATTACAATTTGTACCCGCGATGCGTCGCATGCCGGATTACGCTCGTCGGTTCGGATTCGTAGGAGGCTGAATAATCGTTGAAACAGTGGAATAGAAATAAACTTAGTCGTATATTTAAAATGTGGTGTTGCTATATATTAAATGGTATATTTGGTGTCGACGCCGTTGGTCGCTTATGTACATGCTTGTTAGAGGTTTTTGTGTCGGCGATGGCTCGCGCGGTGCGCGGGATGTGGTCAGTTGTGTTGTCGCGTCGCTTCTTCAGGCGTGAATTCATCTGTTGACGTTTTCAGCGTCTTATCTATTTAAATGCCGGTTGACAATGTGTTTAAATCTCTGCGATACGATGCAGCGCAGTGTTACGTCCTGTAGGAGAACGCAACATAAAGAAAGCTTCACTTGTACTTATAGGTTGAAGAGCTAGTCAACGACCAGAAGGGTTACTTTACTAGCCGGACGACGTACGGCGAGTGGTCCAATTTTGAGTCAGAGAACTGAATCTCTTTACTCAAGACTGGACCTTGAGCGATAATAGGAGAGGACGGGTAAACAAAAGAAACTAATGCTTCTTTATAAAAGAAATAATATGCGATTTATTTATAATCACAATGTGGTAGTGTGTCTGTGCGTGCGTGCGTGCGTGCGTGCGTGCGTGCGTGCGTGCGTGCGTGCGTGCGTGCGTGCGTACGTGCGTGCGTGCGTGTGTGTGAAAGAGAGAGAGAGAGTGTGTGTGGGGGGAGGGAGGATGAGCGTTAATGTTCGGGATTATTGGGAGGTGAAGGGAGTGGAGAATAACTTATAAGAGAAGATGGAGGAGAAGATGGAGATGGTGGACGAGGATGCAGAGGAAATGGCTGTAGGTGGAGAGGGAAAGGGATAGATCTTCTAGATCTAAATATTGTGACAGTAACCTATGGGTTATCCGTTGGAATACTGTTTGCGAAAGAAAGTCTGAGGCGGAAGATAGTAGCTCCAGAGTCTTTAGAGCCTCGCGCAGATCACTCCGTTGTTGCAAGATCGGCGTCTCACTACAAAGGG